TACTCTTTCTTTTAAAGACTGTGTTTATGTTTGAGAGGTCACTCTGAATTTTTTACCCCCAGAGACTTTTTCATGCAGCTGTAATTCATATTTATAATTAAGCTGAGTAATTAACAGTCTTTTGAAAGCAGAAACTATCTAGGTACTTGGGGAAAAGCTTTTCCCTTCCTGAAGTAAAACTGAGTTTTATCATTGACTTTGACACACAAAGGAATCCAGCCTGTTTTCTATGACCCAAAGCCTCATATATACAAATAGTCAAGGAAAACAGGTTTTCAAAAGCATGAGCATACACCCAAGTTTCCCTTGGAGACCCAAGGACAAATGGAACAAGCCAAAAATAAATAAAGCTAAACTCAGCTAGAAACCTAAGCTTTGTCTGCTTTGGATAAACTGTTAGACTGTTAAACTGTGTTGGGATGGAAGCTGACACCACACTCATTCACAGCATAAATTCTCCTACAAATCACATAGTTGTTCCAACTTGTCATCAGCTGAAACTCTGCACTTCTGTTAGAACTTTCATGTGTTCTCCCCTCATTCCATCAGTTCTCAGCAACTTTGCCTCCTTTTTATCTGTTCCTAACATTTTCACTGAGATTAGAAGTACTTACTTTGGCACATGTGTATTTCCCATATTCATGCTTGTTCCATATGTCTGCTGTTGAACTGGGAGACCACTGGAACAGAGACCATCTGAACTATATGTCCACAAATCAGCTAGCACACTGTAGTTTATGTAAAACATTGTTTTATAAGGTCTGATATGGTAAGGTATAACCCTCCAGCCATTTCATTTTAGAACCTGTGCTTAAACATCCATATTCAACACATTTGTTTCATAGTTTGATAATCACAAATTGTCATTCCAGGTGGCTATTTGAACTCAAAGTATCTGATGGATGTCACCAACCAGACTGAATACAAAATACAGGAAGAAAGCCTGCCTCTCTGACAAAAGAGACCAGGACAATCTTACTTTTTCATTCACTTATACTTCAAAAAAATAGAAAAAATATAGTCACAGAGAGACAGCATGGAGAAACTACAGATTATGGTAACTTTGTGGAATGCTTTCCACACTGAAGTTGCCTGGAAGGCCTTTTGCTTTCACATGAAAATTCAGCTAGAGTCCTACAATATCATGGCTGTACACCCCTAAAATAGAAGTGATTTCAACAGAGCATATCATATTCTTTTCTTTCACATGCCCCTATGAAAAACAAAGCAGATAAATCTTCTATTTAGAGTGTTTTCATCCACTACCATTAAGGAATAATTTTCAAGAGAATTAATTTTTAATGAAAATTTCACTGTCATGTAAATTTTCAGCAGTGATGGTACATGACATATAACCTATTGAAAAGAGCTAGAGAAATAAGAAACGTTTTGGCATGCTAAAAAAACCCCACTAACCTGCAAATGTGAGACAGTTGCATAAAACAATTTTAAAGGTGTGAGCTACTATAATACAAATATTGATTTTTTACTCTAGAATAAATGAGTATATCCTGAATATCTAATAATGGGAAGACTGACAGGAGACATACTGATTCCAACCCAAAATTTCCTGTGAATTAAAACTGTTTAACAGCAATCAGTACACATACTAGCTAAGCAATACAAAACAGCCTACCAATATGTTCACATTTGCACAGATGCTTTTTAATTTGTTAAAAAAAAATTGACTTTTTATTTCCTTTGATATTCCTTTGGAGATGTTACATCAAAGATAATGTTGGCTATGCCTCTGGATCTCTGAAAACAGCAGATATTCTGATTATTTGGGTTTCTTACTATTTCAAGAGGGAAGAAGACAGAGGACAAGGATAGAAAATGTTTAAAACAACTAGAACCATTTGCTCCTATATTGTAATATCTAGTTTTGGTATGGCTGTATGCTAGAATGTAATCTATTCCTTTATATTTGTTTTCCATTTTGTTTTGCTCATTTAAAAAAAAAGTCAACAAAACACATCCTAAATAGTGTAAAGAAGAGGTAGCATAGTAGGGCAGCCCACATTTACTATTAGCTACCCCATGCTTTATCATAAAATGGATTATAAAAATAGGTTCAAAAATGTATTTTTAAAAAATTATTGCTTATGAAGGCTCAGTATCAAGAAACAATGCACAAAACCTGCCTTTGTTCTGGCAACTCTCTGGCTCTGAATGACAGAGAGTGGTGAATAACAAATAGGCTAGCTGCAAAACAGGATTTGGCTGCTGAAGAGCAGCACTGACAGTCCCTATAATTTCAAATGGCAAAACTGGCCTGAAACAATTGCTCACATATCCCCGGAGCTAACTCAAAGTGTACGACACTCAGTATGCTTTTACAGAAATTAACAGCAAGACAGACAGCATCAACTGTCTACTTCAAGGTAAAGGGTAAATGATAATGGAGAGGAACGAAAGGTAAAGATGGAAGCTGGGCCAAGTATAGACAAGAAAAGACAGGCATTCCTAGAGAAAGAAACAAATAAATTCGCAGATAATTCCTAGGGTTCCCTCTAGGCAAGGTACCCAGTGCTCAGTGGGTATGAGAGCTTAATTGCTATTCTGTAGCATCAACAGTCATGAAGCAAACACTAACATAAAGATCACATTTGATTTGAGAGTGATGTGGCAGATATACACAAGGTTACTGACAGCAAACTCTTTAGAGATGTAGGAACCCCATGTTTCAGGAAACAAGAGAAATATTTTACAAAAAGTATCTAAAACAGAGGGCTTTAGAGAAAATACAAAGTAAGTATCCATGAAATTCCATGGAATATATGCATATATTTATTTTTTAAATACAGAATAATACAATATCATTCAGGAGAATTAGTTTAGCTAGGGTATTCACTGTGATACATAGTGGAGTAAAATCATCACATACAGTAAATTATTTGCAACAAAAGCCAAAATGTAAAAGCAGACTGCTGGTGGTTTTATGGCAGATTTTTTTCCTGCTTCTTTACCCAAGAAGCAACATTTTATCAGTCGACTGACATTACAGAGACTTTCGAAATGGTCAAACTGCCTACTTCTCTTAAATTAGTACAAGCCTAGCTATTTCATTACAAATTTAATGTCAGAAAAGAAATCTTGGAAAACTAAGATTTAATGTGCTAACCAGCATTATAGTGCTTCCCTCCCTCGCAGTAAGACTCTACTACCTGCAGCATTACTACACTTATGGCTGTTATGAAGTACTCTTCCTCTCATTTTTATTGTATTCAGCTGAATTTCTTCTTCACAACATTCATTTCACTCAAATATACAAACTCTTTTATTTTAAAAAACAGTGTTCAGGAAGGCAAGTACTCTATTTCTAAACAGCCACGTACTGGCAGGAGACTATAAGCGCATACACAGCGTAATACAACCTGTAGTGGTTCGACGTCATTTTATATTGAAGGAGGCATCAAGAACTGAAAAAGCACTAAGCACTAAAAGCAATATTCTATCCACTGAAGGAAAAAATACAAGTGTTCAGTTTTGGGTCCCTCACTCCAAGAAGGTCATTGAGGTGCTGAAGCAAGTCCAGAGAAGGGCAATAGAAGAGCTGTGAGAGGCTCTGGAGAGCAAGTTTTATTTGGAGCAGCTGGAGTTGTTCAGCCTGGAGAAAAGTAGGCTCAGCGGGAACCTTATCACTCTCTACAACTACCTGAAATAAGGGTATGGTGAGATGAGGATCAGTCTCTTCTCCCAAGTAAAAAGCAGTGAGACAACAGTAAATGGCCTCAAGCTCCACTAGGGGAGGTTTAGGTTGGATAGAACAAGAAATTTCTTCACTGAAAGGGTGGTTAACACTAAAAGGGTGAAACAGTCTCCCGAGGGAAGTGGTGGAGTCACCATCCCTGGAAGTGTTCAAAAAATGAGTAGTCATGGCACATTGTGATAAGGTGCGCACCATGAGCATGGTGTTATTCAGACAGAATTTGGACTTGATGAACTTGGAGGTCATTTCCAACCTTAATCATTCTACGTTTCTATGATTTCTGTGTTTTCGATCCTTGAATTAACAATTTTCAAGCAGTCACCTTACATTTTTATAGTATGTTATATATATACTCTTTAGATATGTCTTTCAAATTATTTTTAAAGGACTTGTGAAAACCAAATTTTAAAATTTTGAGCAAAAATTCAAAACGGATTGCCATTTGAAGCACAGGCTACCAATTTTAAACCACTCCAAGGTTTAAACCACTCCACTTCCACATTTAGAAATGAAGTTACAAAAGACAAAAGCTAACAAATGGAATGAAAGTAAACTAAAATAGAAAAAAAATATTAATAGTTCAAAATAAGTGAGTACAAGCTAAGGTAGACCAAGAACTATATTGGAAACAGTGTGGGGCTGATCCAGAAGACTTATGCTTTCTCTAAGGCTTTGAATTACTCACTTTCTACCAGACATCACAGTCATGCACACAGTGACAACTTAAGTAATTCAACATGTAACATAGCAAGTATATTGCATTTATGCATATCTTCTGCTTGGGTACATCAGTTTTCTTGAATGACACTCTTTATTATGTGATTTGTTTTATGCACATTTTTCAATGTCCAGATGGTGGAGATACAATGTAACAAACAGATCATACATCCTTTTACCTTCATAACTAGTTCATTGAGGTAAAAAGCCACAGTAAAGAGACCTCACAAACATGTATTGTGTAATATTCCCAGTCTGTTCACGTTTCATCACCAGTAGAGTTCCAAAAGTGAAACTTCCACAGCTGACATTGATCAAGTTTGTTATTCTTTTTTTGCGGAACAACAGGTTTGAATTACTTTTAATAGAACACCAAAGACTGTTAACAGTGTTAATGAATTGCCACTATGTGTCAAAAGGCCGATCTTAATAAAAACCTGGTTATTTATTCCTTACCTTAAACATGGTTTACTGCACTCTACGTTGCAATAATCATCACAATTCAGATTTTCAATACATTTCAAATATTGGAACACCTTAATAGTAAAGCATATATTAATATACTACTCACCAATTTTAACCTTTGCAAAGGTATTCTGCTAGTGTCTATCGGAGTACGCTCTGTGACATTACCAAATCTGACTTCTGGGATGGCAATTGCACATATTACATGTGCCCACCTGTGAAAAGTGGCAAGTCAAAAATACCACCAAAAAAACCCATAGAAGTACAAGTGTTTCAGATGTTTCATTACTTGCTGTGTGTTTTGTTTTTTGCTTTTGCTTTTGGGTTTTTTTAAAGGCATCCATCTCTATTTAGTTCCTTATTAGGCTTTCCTAAACTTCTTCAAAACATTTTAGCAAATGTTACACCACCACCACTTCGTTTAAATATAATTTCAGACTGAGGTCCTGTTGCAACATTTTTTAAAGCATCTTTCACTTTCCATTATGTGCGAAGTTTTCGTAGTTGTGCCATTCAGGTATGTATGTAAAGAACATGCTATTTGGTTCATGAGTAATTATCATCTACAGCATTTTGCATTAACATTTCTCAGACCTGAGTAACTATTCGTAGGCAACACACGTGATCACAATCAGCCATATATCTACTGAAATGCAAAACAAAGTATACTATCAAGATTTTCTGTTTACAGACACAATGGCATAAAAGCAGCAGAGTGACCAGGCTATCAGTGCAATGCCCAACATGAACTGGATCACCTTTAGCAGTGAAAACACTTGCAAGTGCCTAGGACCAATGCTACATGTAAGACTTCAGTGCAACTTCAGGAAGTTTATGAGATCATTCTATGTGCTTCCTATATTCATCAGAAAGCATTGCTATTATCCTCCAAATTCTGTTTCAATACATAAATATCAGAATAAGAAAGGCTAAATGAAACTTTAAAAAGTCTGAAATTAATACTGAAAGTGTATGTTTCATGGAGTAAAAGAGAAGCTAATAACATTCTTATTAACAAAGAGCAGCCTTCTGAGATTACTTCTAAAATCTTTTAGGGACAGACAAGTAGTAAATCTGAAGAAAGGAAAACATTTCTATTCTTTGACTCATATTTGCCTTATTCCCTGTCATTCACTGTACATCTGGTTTCATTACCCCATCTGCTCTATTTCTCTAAGCCCTGAATGCTTGCCTCACTCCCCTTTCTGTATATCTCCAAGAGACACATATTATTTGAGCATCTTAGCAGATTAACAGGAATGTGGGCTGAAACTGAAGGAGATGGAGGGTGATGCAGAAAAGAGAAATAATTTCTCTTTCCTGCAGTAGAGAAGTAGTATTTCAAATAAGTCATTGACAAAAACATCTAAAAAAGTATAATATGACACCCAACAACTAAATATAAACTGCTGTCATGTGACTTCAAAGTTGTATTCATCAGTGTGAAATAACAGCTGTATATGAAGATGACATATCAATTAGCAAGTTATAAATTCAGCCCAAATAAAAGCAGATAAAGCTTGCAGATCTATAATTTTATTAAAGTGACAGCTTTGTTCATGTTTTAACTTAAAGAGTCCTGCTTTAAGACTTCTTTAAATTTGTAATAACACCCTTTTTCTCTTCATTGCTGCCTGCCCACCTGCTAAACTACAGTCTTACCATCTAAGTTTTATGGGACAGAAACGCTGTAAATAAAATACCTCTTCAATCAATCTTTACCCAATCATTTATACTCTGACATCTCTCAACCTAACAGACTCAAAATAATTGCTGTGTTCTGCTGAAAAGAAGGAATCTCAACTCTCCTACATGGTAAATTGTTTCCTGCACACACACACTCTGTGTTTGATACATTAGCTTTTAAATATAAGTAATACTCATATCCCTCACTAGTTTGTAAGGAGCAAACAAGGAGCAAAGGGAATGCACATGTTAGATTTTACACTTGTTGGAAAAAAAAGACATATTTGTAACATACTTTTCTGAAAAACTCAAAATCTTGGAATGGTAGCTGAAACTGAAAGATAGATGAAAAACTCCACAATGTATAACAGCTATAAGGTATTATGGAAACAGGAAAACAGGAGTTGAACTGCTTTTACAGAAATTCCATTTCATAAATCTGTAACACTAACCTACAGAGTGACAGAATGTAAAGCCAAAGACTTTATGTATTGTTATACAAAGAAAATCACTCTATGTAAACTTCTGTAGATTTTTTTTCTATGAATAAATCTTATGAAATATTTGGAAAAAATTTCAATTGGTTCACAAAAAAAGATATACATATTTTCAAAGGAGCAACCTGTAATCAGTCAACAGCAAATATTAAAAAGGGCATGAGATATTTCTGTCATTTTTTTTTCTCTTTTTTTTTTTTTTTGTGATTAAAGCAAGTATCAAATTTAGGGGAATTCAAACTAAAAATCAGATGAGAATTTTCATGTACTGGTCAAAAGCCCCACTAGAATGGTTACGACATTAATGCTTTTTGTAGGTAAGATATGGCCTGAGTTTCACATAAAACCTTCTACTAACTGAACAATTCACCAGTCATGCAACCCAATGCAAATCATTGATAAATAAATTCTTTCCTGCTAAGCAAAAAAGAATGTTGTACCAAGATCATGTCTTACCACTGCATTCCAAAGCATTAAAGAAAGAGTCTACATGATATTGCCAAGCTACTAAAATAACCTAATTAATTATGAAATTCTAAACGCATGAAGACTGTTGTACTACTGGGCTTGACAAAAAATTAAGCTGAGACATTTTCCACTTCATCTTTTAGGGTTACTTGCTATAGTGTCTGTCATCCAGATACAATAAAAAATATTGATTCTGTTAATAATACAATGTCATCAACAATATTATTTTTGATAGTGTGTGCTATAAATGTATTTGAATAAAAAAAGAACGACTTCAGAATTGAAAATTATTTCAATATGATTAAAATTAATTAACTGAAAATACTGGGTTTAGAAGTTCAAAGGTATTGCATGGTAGTTTTCAGGAGGAAAGAGGAAAATACACTTTGGTGTTTGGTAAGACTTTCTCATGCAAACAGGGATAAATGAGCTCTCATTTACTTTCTCTACACAAAGGCCAGCAGATTAAAATTTGGAACAAGCAAGTGCGTGCAAATACTAAAAGAAACGTACATTTTACTATCTAACTATTTCACAAAATGCCAGTGGCACATTTGAATAGCAGTAATTTTAGTTCTGCAACAATTCAGCTTCAAGGGACACTGTCAAGTAATTATGTTTACAAATGCTTTGCACATGGGAATGGATTGGGAATAAAGTCAGAAATAAGCATATACAGTCCTGAAAAATATATTACTTACTTTTTGTCAGTAGTTTGCTTCAATGCACCACCTCTCAAATTGCAGAGACAACATTCCTAAAAATAAAAATAGTGTAGGAAAAAAGTTAGCATTATTTCCTGTTTAAAAATCAATTTTATTTAGCTGATCTTGAGGATAAGCAAATTGCTAATGTATTTAACTACTGGGATACAAACTGTCACTTATAAGCAGTTCCTTACAAGGGGAAAAAGGGATACAGTAACAAAAAGAGAACTCATATGAGCTAAAGAAAAAATATTTAAGTATTAATCATAAACAAAGTGACATAATCACTTTGAAAGTGATACTAAATTAAAAATACCAAAACTTTTAACCAGTACTGCCATAGAAAAGCTGGAATTGTCATACATATTATAAAAGTAAAATGAAGTGCTATGGCACACAATTAGTTTAATAGAAGTTACTGAGAAACTGACCCATAAGCTATTGATCTAATTCAATTTTTTTTTCTTTTTCTTTTGCTGCAGTATACCTTCACTGCTTTGATCATCAGTACAACTCCAGCTCTTTCAGGGCACTCAGCAAGGTGTCTCAGTGTTCCCAGATAATATGCCAAAAGACATGGCTTTTCCTACCTCTACTTAAAACTGAGCCTTTGAACAAATACAGTCTTTTCCACTTTTCAACTCTTCACTTCCTCTCTTCAGTCTCCCCCATTTCTGAATCTATTCTTTCCCTTTTTCTTTTTTTTCCCCCTTGTCCCTTGATAAGAGCACATGAGAAAGTATTTCCAATGTTATTTATTTTCCTCCCTCTCTCTGTTTTTCTGGTTTCTACAAATAACCAAGTGTACAAAATGCAGTCAAGATATACTGTGACTATATACCCATACATGAGCATGTCTCCTGAACCTCTACATTTAAGTTGCCCTTGCAGGAGAAAAAAAACATGCAAACAAACAAACAAAATAAAACCAAAGCATAATTCTGAAGAACTGCTATGTAATACTCCAGTCTGACCTTACCTTAAAAATTCCAATAATGAAGAGTATCAACGTCTGCCAGAAATCTGAATGCTATACTACATTTCCTATGAAAATAACCTTTCCTAACTAGAAGGCAAACAAAAAAACCCAAAACAAACAAAAAAACCCCCAACAACAACAAACACAAAAAAACCCACAATCAATCAAAAAACTCCAGTGGTTTCTCGTGACAATTGGGTTTTCTTTGCAATTTAAGCACATAAAATTCGCCTTATCAACCAAACCCATGGAGAGCAGGTAAACCATTCTGTTACAGAGTACCCTTTCAACTATTTAGTATTACTGCAGAGTTTTAGTGAAGTGAATTGAGGTTCATTATTTTATCCACAACAGCCTCAGGATGGGAACAAACACATTCCAAATCACAGTTCCCTTTGTAAAAGTAAACACTGACTATTAAATCAGGAAACCCAAAGGATCAGAACAGCAACTCAAACGAGACTGAGCAGTAACAGATACTTTCAGCATACAAAGAACTGAACACTACAGGGCTGCTATTGCAGTACTGTTTATAACATTCAATAGCCTCTTCAAGAGAGGAACAGCTCAGATGAAGGACATCATTGCATAGGAGTCCTCCATTCAGCTGTTGGAGAAGGTGTAAAACTGTTCCTTTCAGGAACAATATAGCTATTCATATAGCTGCATCTTTGTCAGGTTCTCTTACTGCATCTTAGGAAACCTGTTCTAGTATCAAGTACAACACAAGACAGAAGCTCAGTGGGAGTGGAGGGGCAGTGAAGAGAAACATGGAACTGTTAAGGTTGGAAAAGACTTCCAAGATCATCAAGTCCAACCATTAACCTAACACCAGGTCCATCATTAAACCCCTAAGCACCACATCGACATGCCTTTTCAGCACTTCCAGAGATGGTAATTCCACCACTTCCCAGGCACACCTTGAGGTCATTTCTTCTTCTTCTATTGCTTGTAACTAGGGAGAAGAGCCCAACCCCTATCTCACCACAAACTCCTTTCAGGTAGTTCTAGAGAGCAATAAGTTGTCCAACAAGCATCCTTTTCTCCAGGCTAAACAACTTCAGCTCCCGCAGCCGTTCCTCATAGAACTTGTGCACCAGACCCCAGTACTGAGCCTTGGGGAACACCACTGGTGATGAGCCAATCAGCTGCATGTAACTCCATTCACCATCACTGTCTGGCCTGGCCATCCAGTTGTGTTTTCACCCATCCAAGCCACGAGCAGACAGTTTTCCAGGAAAATGCTGTAGAAGACAGTGTCAAAGGCTTTACTAAGGTCCAGACAGCCAAAATCCACAGCCTTTGCCTCATCTACTAAGGTTGTCACCCTATCAGAGTAGGAGATCATATCAGCTTATCTCAAAATTCATTATTTGAATAATGATGAACTTTTCCTGCTTCTAATAAGTACATTTCGCTTTTAAGAAAAATCTTCATTTGATCATCTGCTGTATAACTTATCAGTGCAACTAGACTGAGAAGCCAAGGTCCTGAAGAAATTCCACAAAAAAATTAAGCTAAAATTGCACAGGAATTTTAGGCAGAAGTCATAATCTTTGCCTACTAACTACAGACTTTTCACATTAGGGTAAAAAACAAAAAAAAAGGTAGAAAACTATCGCCCTTATGCAGCACTTATAGGAACCAAATTTATTCTCCTCTCACAAACCACTTATAAAAATCTTTGGTGAGCAGAAAGTGTTGGTGGATAGTTGTTCACTGTCTGCTGGACACAGGCTACAAGAAATTAGATCCCTAATAACTTGTAAGTTTCACCAGTGTTCAAAGCAAACCCGGGCAGGTAGGACCAGAGGCTTAAAGCCCATTAAAACTACTTTTGTTAATCATGGCTGCACTGCAATACACTGTACTATATTCAGGCAACATGGCTATTACTTTAACTCCAGTTTCAACACACTGCAAGTAGTGAAAACTCAAGAGGATTTCATATTTACAAAGACTAATATTCCTAATAAATGTATATTAATCATGGATGGCAGTGAAATCACACTAGCAATTATTACCCATGTTATTATCCATGAAGGGCATAGATCTGTTGGAGCTGGTCCAGAGGAATGCCACAAAAGTAATCAGAAGGCTGAAGCACTTCACCTATGAAGGCTTCTCTTCTTCAGCAGGGAGAAGAGAAGACTTTGGGGAGACCTTATTGTGGCCTTCCAATAGTTAAAGGGAGCTTATAATAAATACAGGGACAATCATTTTAGAAGGGGTAATAGTTTTACATTTAGATGAGCTATAAGGAAAACGTTTTTTACAATAAGGGTGGTGAAACACTAGAACAGGTTGTGCAGAGAGGTGGTAGACGTCCCATCCCTGGAAACATTCAACATTAGGTCATATGGGGCTCTGAGCAACTTGACCTAGTTGGAGATGTCCCTGCTTATGGCAGGGGATTTGGACTAGATGACCTTTAAAGGTCCTTTCCAACACAAATTATTCTGTGATTCTATGTTCTCACAGAAGAAGAGAGCGTCTGTGCACCCCTGTGTGTCTGCTGTCAGCCTCTATGTAAAAATCAGGATAGGAATGGATTTCATTATAAAGCATCACTTTACAACATATCCAATCTCTGATTCATTATTACTTTGCAAATCCTTTAAACAAGTAATTTTGTCATTTGTATTTGCATTAAATAATAATTTCTTAAGTATATTATTTTATACTTATCTAAATTAAATCTTAGACCATTTATAATTGCTCATCTCCTTTAAAAATCTCCATAACATTCTAGAATTACAAGAGACCTTTCTTTCTTCCAGTATCTGTATAAAATAAGACATCTCCATACAATTTGCAAGCTTTAGCACAGTAACGTTCAATTCATCTTTCAGCTTTTTAGTGGAGATGATGCATTTTTTTTTTAATAACAATACAGACCATATCCACTGTTTCTGGACCAAATGCTTTCCCTTGCTTACCATGAAACACTTTTGCAATCAGCAATCCTAATCTGGTCTACTCCTTTCTCTGTTTCAATCACTTCTCAGACTCAGCTGTGAAAACTCCCCTCCGAGGAAGCATCAAGACATTCGCAGCAACTTAGACCATTCCTGAAGTATCCCGTGATTCACAGTATTACATCATACATTGCAAAACTTCCCACCGCAGGACACTAGGCATTACTACCTGAACCTGAGCACATATAATTCGTGAAATCTTTGAGTTTTGTGGACTTCTCCCACCAGATCAAGACCCCGCAAGACCGTATCCATCGCTTCAACCAACAGACATCAAAATTGCAACTACCAAGTCTCACTGCTGGATTCAATGGGCGGTGACTATATAACTTTGTACTTTTATCTTTTCTCTTTCTTTTCCTTATCTGTTTTCCTAAGTGTTATTTCTACGTTTTAATATTGCTGTATTACTGTAGATAATAACAACCAAAACAGCTTCATACGTGTTTTCCTTCACAACCAAATTGTTCTAAAACAAATCCTACATATATATGTATTTATAAACACAGATGTGTCACTTCATTCTAATCTGCCCCGAGGGATCTATTAACAAGAACCTGGATTACCCTTGCCTTCTGGGGCAGGTCGTAACACATGGATAAATACTACATAAACGCTAAGCCTGTCCTCATTCATTTATATTTTAAAATGAATGCATTAGATTATCTTTGAGTATTTTTTACAGTCTGCCAAAATTCAAAGTCATATTGACAGTAATGTATACAAAAAGCAGTTTTCACACTTCCATATTTGCATACTTACTTCATCAGCAATAGCACTCTGTATGACAGGAAGCTGCCTGACACAGCAAGGCAACAGAATTCAGCCAAGCCATAGCAGAGGGACACGCAGTAAGTTATCTAATGGTTATTTTTATGGAAAACTATGAATAAGCACCACATGATCCCCTTTCTTGTTAAACTGCTATTCTCCTTTTGCCTCAGGCCCTGTAAATTGCAATGTCGGCACCAAAGAATTATATTCATTCAGTTAAAAAAAAAAAGTTTAACTAATGTCAGTGGATGAAGACAGGGTAAAATAAAATACATTTTATCACAGCTGTTCAGGTCACTGGTTGCACAGAGTGTCTGAG